TGCTCTAGTGAGAGTTCAATAATTAGCAAACAAACCGAAAACAAGTTAGTTTGATCACCAAGTAATAAGCTGAAACTAACATGTTGCCAATAAGTAAAATGGAGATCAGACCAAGATATTGTCAATGTCGATGAATCAAAGATGTCTGTTTATGTTTGATCTCAGTTTTAAACGCGGATACAACACATGCTAAACATGGAGTGTAAGAGTATGTGTATGTCAATCTCAACTAAAGATTGCATTGTTTTTGTTGTATCCAAATCTTTTTGATGATTAATTTGATATTACAGCATATATGGAGATTTAGCTTGTTTTATTTTTGCCACATATATAGTCAGTTTAGTCACACAAGAGAAAATAGGTGCACCTGAAGAACTATGAGACTTGGTTCTTTTTCTTCTCTTTTCAGTTGAATGCTACTAAAAAAAATTGAATTTTCCAAGAATGTCTATAAAAAACCGATAATCACCCTTATTCTTTTAAGATCTGATATATCCATATACCTCGTTACAAATGCGACTCACGTATACCTTATGGTTACATAAATAGATCAGATATCCATTTCTGTTTAACAGAAGTAGAAAAAATATTTTGAAATTGATTTTTTCTTTAGAAAAATTCATATCCATGTAGAAATATATTTGATCTTTCTAGAAAAATTCAGGGATATGTTTGCTTATTTGTTCAGGTGAATTTTTTTTTTACTTTTTTATTCAACGGTTAATTTGAGTTTTACATATCTCGCTTATAAATCTATTTTCATTCTTTAGTGTGTGAAAATATTAAGAAATAAAAAAAAGAAATATGAATGGAAAAAAGTAAGAAAACTTCAACTCTAGTGTTTGTGTGGTTATATCGTTATTTATTTTTTCATATCTTCATAACAAAAAATGTAGTATTTATGATCAAATTACAAAAATGAGTGAGAAAAATTGATCATCCAAATTAGCCGTTGAATCAAGAAGTCAGAAAAAGTCACCCATGAAAGGAATCAAATATACCCCTCAACTTTGCTAGAAGAATCAAAATATAAATTTTAAAATTATTTTTTGCTTTTGTTAGACAAAAGGTATATATGCATCATTTGTGTAACGATAGAAGAAATATATGTTAGCTACTTTTACAACGAGGATATATCATAACCTTTCCCTAAACACTGGGAAAAAAAATCCTATTTTTACATAGAGCAACAATAACAAAACAGAGTATAAAACAAATGAATATATAGCTGCATTCTCATTTTTAAAAAGTGGGTGGGAAAGAATACCGGAGAAGAATTTGCCGGCGGCATTTCTACGGCGGAGAAGTGACGGTTGATCCTGATCACCGGCGGCGGTGGAAGTGAGTTGGTTGTGAATAGTTCGAAAACGACGTTCAGCTTGGGAATCCATCAGTTGAAGCTTCTTGTGATTGTATTGTTTTCCCACCAAAAATTTGCTGGTGGTTTTTTGGTTAAGAATGCAACTACAAATGCATGTTATGTTAGTGTTACATAAGTTGACAATTGTAGGTTTGCGTTGCTAGTTTAAATATAATGGTATTTTAATTTTATTGTATCATATAGTTAAATTTTTATTTTGTGTAACGATTAATTTGATGTGATTGTGTTGTTATCTTATATATTTTTTCGCTCATTTTAGTCTTAAAGGGGTTATTTGATATGCGGAATAAAATAAGTAAACATAAAAATAAGTTGGATGGAATAACTTCCAAACTCTTCATGATTTCATGCTTGTTTGCGTTGATATTGTGCTCATGAAATTTCTGTGGGAAAACTATACTTCATGGGTCTTTTTAACTCGTGTTCAATTTCAATGTTTTTTGTTGTATAGGGTGTGTTTGGTTTGAAACATAAAATGTCTTCCTAAAAATTTTCTACTGTTTCGTAAGTAGGGGCGGGGTTAGTAACGGTTCAAGGGGTCCATTCGAATCCCCTTCAACAGAAAATTATACTATTTATCCATGGTTAAAAATATTTTCTATGTGTATATAAATTATAATAGATGTTGAACCTCTTTAATTTTAAACTTCTTATATCTTGAACTTTTTTAGTGAAAGTACTGCCTTCGCTACTATTGATAAATAAGTAAAATTTATTATCCCAAAAATATTTATGCGTAATCTAGTAAAATACTATTGAAATAGGATAGGGTTGTCATAGTTGTAATATTTTCTTAGTAGAAAAGATGATATTATAATATTTGAAACTATATACATCATGGCAACAAAGTGTGATATATTTCTAATTACGTTCGTTTCTTTCTTTTTTTTCGTAATCGATGTTCGATATTTATTTTGAAATTCAAGTTATTTCAATTCATTGAAAAATTTCATTTTAGGATGAAGCCTTCACTAAGACAATTTCATACCGGAACTCTAAACCAAAACTAATTCTAATTAATCTCCACCATAACCTTTGACGATAACATGTCTTTATCTACTTAACAAGGGTTGTGGTAGAGTGGTAAGTACTCCTTCATCTTTAACCAAGAGGTTTCGCGTTCGAGTCCTCTTGGGTACGGAGTTGCCTTTGTTAGCGAATGATTTACCCCCGTGGGACTTTTCGACATAAATCTGAATTTAGTCGCACTCTAATTGAGTATCGGACACCGCGTGAAGAAAAAAAAAAACATGTCTCTATCTACTATAATCAATAATCTGAGAAAAAAGGAAAAGTAGATAGATATTTTCATAGGTTTGGCATAAAACCAAATAAATAAAGTGAAAGTAATAGTGAACATTTAATAATATAGCCACGTAAAAGTGTATATATTCAATTTGGTTTACCAACAATCAATGACAATAAGGTTTGCTGAAAGCTACGCCAATTTGGTTGGAAAATAAATGTGAAGATTGGATAGCGTGGAGGTAGGAGGTTCATAAATCATAGTTAATTTCAATATAACTTATCTAAACATAATTATACGCCCCCTAATAGTTTGATTTTCCTTGCGCAAGAAAATATAAAACTAAATATTAATAACAACATCAAGATTCGAATTAAAAATGTTTAATTTTATGAAATTTCTAAAGATGATCAAAAAAGGGGAACATTAAAATACACATATAAGATGAAACCTATCTCAAATCTTTATAAAACTATGTAGAGCATCAAATGAGACTAAAGTTAGAAAAAATATAAAAATTGAAAGTAGAAACGAATTGACTGATTATTGTTGTCAAGCTCACCAAAGGGCAAAGAGGTGTCACCTTCTTTAGAACGGTGCAAAAATCGAATCGACCAATAAATTGAACCGAAAAAAATGTTATTGGGTTAACAAGGTTTTTAATTGTTTTATAAAAAAAATTATTGGGTTATCGATTTTAGTATTGGGTTATTGGTAAATCGATAACCCATCAAGACGATAACAATTTATTACTATACCCTACATAAATATTAAATATTAATAATTTAACATAACTAATATTAAATCAGTACTCTACACTACGGTCTACACACTTCACACGTCACAATACTTTAACTTTACATTAGAAATTCCATATTATGTTTTGGTTGTAACTTGTAATTGTAACATTCGTACATCTACTCTTATTGATGCAATTTCTCATTATATTTTTTGTTTCACTATATCAAAGCATTTACAGCTGATTTGTTTGTCTCACTGTATAGCGTCAAATTGTTTGAGAAGTGAGAAATCATATATTTATTTATGAGCATTTTCTTACTCGGTAAACCGAACTGTTAATGACCAAAAATCGATAAAGAAGATTTTATTAGTTTGTTATTAGTTAAGCGTATTTAAAAATAAAAAAATGATAAACCAAACTGATAATACATAAAACCGAATGCACACCCCTTCCCGTCTTTGTTGATACATAAATTCAATATTTAAAATTATTAAAAGATATTTTAATAAATTTATTTGATATTGTACAATAGATACAGACAAAACCAAAAATAAATATGTTATTAATTCACATTTACAATCTACTCAAATGTCATATCCACAAATAACGGAATATAGTACAGTACAACTAAGGGTGTTGATAGTTTGATTTGGATTCGTTATCGATTAAAATCAAAACCAAACCAAGTTAGTCGGTTATTAAATTTCTAAAAAACCAAACCAAATGAAAAAAATAACCATCGGTTTAGTTTGATTTTTTTAATTATTTCGGTTTGAAAGTAATAAATTTGTTGAGGGCATATGCATCTCGATAGACATAGACACCTAATACATGAAAAATTCATCGAAAAGCTACTGTGAATTCAATTAAACAATACTAGAGTTATTACCACACGAACAAAGAGTTTCAACTTAGAGAAAGTGTGATTATATAATGTGAGGCATGGTAGGTAAAAACTAAAGTAATGGATTTTGATGGACTTGCTCTTAGAATTTTAATAGTTGGGCTAAAATTTAATTGTTGGCCTTAAAAAATGACCTAAAGTTGAAGACTTAAGTCCATTAAAATTTAACAAAATATTTATATTTTACTTATGAATAATATATAAATAATTATAAAATATAAACTTATTCCTGTCTAATAAAACACTATTGGATCAAAGTGAGAATAGAATTGGCTGGGCCGTAGAGCCGTGGAAACGCTTGTTTTTCCCACCTTAGCTCCATGAAAGAATGTTTTACTGCTGAAACACAGAAGAATTGAAATCTTAAATCAAAACAGTATGAACAGCAAATTCGGATACTCACTAACAAGAAGTACTGAATTCTCTTTCATACAGGCCCTGAAAGGAGAAGGAAGGCTGGAATACCAACGGGCTTCAAGTTGACCAAAAACTCAAACTAACAGTAATTACATGAGATTGTGATCTTCATTCTAAAACAAGAATACCATTAAAGGCTGAGGTTCCAATAATTAATGAACACTTTAACAGTGAAAAAAGAAACAATTTACAGAGCATGAATTTCTTTAACTATTTGATCAATTAGATGAACAGGCAGAGACAGAGGCATTCCTCCACAGATAATTTCAAACTAAAAATTTCCAAAATGAACCTATATACTGAATTGATCCCCAAATTAATACTATGCATGATGGTAGAATCTACAAATACATCTACCAAGCCAAGACTGAAAAAATGTTGATATCGTCTTTTTTGAGATGCTCATGTTACTGCTCTCTCATAATCTCCTAAAAGAGCTCCATCAACTGTTGTGCAACATCTGCAATAAAAAACATATATAGGGTGAATCGGACAAGCTAGTGAAGCATTCTGAAGGGAGATTCAGCACATACAATGCAAATTCCTTATATATTAACAGAAGAAATCTTGGGGCCGACATTGTTGCCAATCAAAAGATTCATGATGACATTCAGAATCAGTTTCTGTTTTATCTCAAGTCAAGTCTAGCTCTCCATTTGAAGAGCCACAAAAACTAGATGAAAACTAGAACTGGTCCAGTTCCATCCTGTGTTGGGCATGATTGCCAGTTTCAATAGAAGGTAAAATCTGGGATTTCGTACCTAACTATATAGCGAAAGTGGACAAAACATGGTGCTCCTTCATAGTGGGGTTAAAACCTCAGAAGGGGAACACAAATATATGTAGAAAACAGTGGTAGAATGTGCAATTTAACATGCCAAAAAAATTGACTTTAAGCATTGAGTCAAAAATGTTAACAATTTCAAGACACTTATCTTTATATTAAGCATTAGTTCATAACCTAAATGGATCAGAGTCTGGTGTACTCCCAAACCAATCATCATCATGATCTTAATCTTAGCTTGAATCTATCTCCCAATGAATATTAAACATCGCCTAATTGAAGTCAAAACCGGAGAGACTACAATCCAAAAGGATTTGTCCTACTATGATTCAGAAAAGGAAACTGGAGGTCTCAAGTGGTTTGGGCTTGGGACTTCCATGTTGGAAGTCTCAAGTTAGAAACCCCTTGCCAGCGAAAGCAAGGGGCTTGCCATCTGAGTCGAGCTCGTTGCACCGGGCTTGCCTAGTGCAGGTTACCTCTCCTATGTGGTTTGTGAGCTATTGCATAGGAGCGGGGGTTTTACTCTGTGCGCACCCAAAGGGTAGCGGCCGCGGGTTTCCCTTGTCATAAAAAAATAAATAAAAATAAAAATAAATACATGCAGCCAATACCTAGCAATTACTTTATGTTCTGTGATGTATAAATGTATACCTCTAAGTACATTTGGCGGTGTTTGAAACTCTTTCCAGACAGAATGATGTGAAGCAAAATCCATGTTCAGAAATTTTGATGCAAGATATGCAGCCCCAGCAGCAATCTGGTAAGGCTTGAACTGCAGCCAGAGTGAACTTCGGAGCCTGCAAAAGGAAATCGACTAAGAATAGGAGATACTAATGCTACACAAAATTTACTTCCCTGAAGACTAAATGGATAGGCAACATCTGCAGCAACACCATATCACTTGTTAGCCATATTTCAAGAACAGCATCGGATCCAAAACTTTTCAAAAAGGTACATTGGCCAATAAACAGTAACAAGAATACAAGTCTAATACATTTACGGATCCATTAACAATTGTTTTGAGTCATGTGGAAAAGCCAAAAGAGCAAGCCGAGGCAACTTTCTCTTACCAACTACGAAAGCAGCAACCGAGTTCTTCTGCACAGTGTTGAGAGAGAATGAAATATATAACAAACATGTTGTACCCATCTAGAGAGCACCAACTCCTACTCCCAGCTCCGCTGCAGCAGCATAACCCCAAAATATATGCACCTCATTTACCAAAATAGATAGACAGAAGAAGCAACAACTGTTGCAATCCTTTTTCACTATGATCCACAGATAAACGACAAAGGAACTTGTGGACTTGCCAGCTTTGGCCCTCACTTCTAGTTTCACTCGTACTGTAGTACATATAAATAATTTCCTACCATATCTACCATGAATGAACTAACAAAATTGCCCAGAAAAGAGACTCCACCATTCCTTGACCAAAAGTTGGTCCTAAAAACCTAAACAGAACACCGACAATTAAGGCTAACCACAGCTCGATGTTAGGAAGACACTAACATGTAGAAAACTAGTGCCCAGTACAACTGCAATATTTACCAATAAGACATTTTTCCCAAGTAAACTTCTCTGGCTACGTGGCATTCTACAATCTTTGGAAAATATGCTACCCAATCCACCAACCAAGCCAAAAGGAGAAGACAGTGCAAGGAGTGAAGGCTTCTCATCGGGAGTAACACTATAACATATGTCTGTGTGCACCTTATCCATATAGTTTTTTAATGAAGTATGTGCGCGCGCATGTTTATATATATATAGGGAGGGGGGCATATATAGATTTGTATATGGTCTCTGAAACTACTAGTTTCAGAAGAGCTTTATAAGAATAAATATATTGAATTTCTTTGACTTAATTGAGTGAACAAACTTTCACCCACAAAGATTGATAAGCATAAAAAATGTTTTCAAGCCACTATGGTGCTCACACTTCAAAAAATAATAGATAGGTACATATATAGATAGTAAAGAGGTGCAAAATATTTAATGAGTAAATTTTACACATTAGAGCTCCACCTCACCATAGCAATTTTCTCTATGCATTACAAGGCCTTGCCATAAGAACCTTAAGAGAATGCCTCTGCTCTGAACAACAAACTTGAAACCAAGAAAAAAAAGTAATATAATATATATATAAATATCAATCTATTAAGTAATATAATGACTTCTTTGTTGTGTGTGTGGGTATATATAATAAAATAAGACTTGGGACATTGATTTTAAGTTACCAAGTAGTTGAGTAAAAAGTGCAGTGACACTTCCTTTCATTACCCCAAAAACTACTTTGACCTCAGCAACTCTGTCATCCCATCTATGCCAGTGCAAGTGTACTTTTTTTTTTTTGAGAATTAAAATGCTGTAGAAGGGATTCGAGCGAGTGCAAGTATACTTGATTATAGTAGGACTTCCAATTTAGAGTTCCATCAAGCAACCAGAAGAGATAAAACACTAGCATTTAACACCACTAATCGACTCCCTGGTACGAATCATTGCCACTTAAGTGCAGTATCCTAGCACAGAGACAAACTACCAAGATCGGGTGCTAGCCATACAGCAGCAAGGCAATGAAAGAGGAGGGAGATTAGGTCCTCCAATATGTGCTCCGTCGAAACGAACCAAGCTTGTCCATTGGAGTTGGTCACGTGTCCTGTTAAATTAGGTCTGCTCTGATACCATGTTAAATTAGGTCTTAGGCCTAACTCACACCCCAAAAGCTAGCTCAAAGGGAGGAGGATTGCCCAAGCCTTATAAGGAGTCCACCCATCTCATTAACCACCGATGTGGGACTTTTGTCATTCTTTAACATGTCCAAATGGAAAATAATGAATAGGCTAATGTCTTTTCAGAGATCAAGAAGAACAGAACCAGGGGAAGGACAGAAATCAAGCCTCATTATTCAATTGACGCTTATTGTAAGGGAATAGAGCAGCGCCTACTCAGATGCAGGTGTAAATGTTAATACATCTGTCAGTTGGACGATGAATTATCCTACCAGACAAACTCGATAAGCTGGATTCAGCATGTGACTAGTAGCTGAAGGAGAGAAGATCAAGATGATCAAGAAGAGAAGTAGGAAAAAGTTCTGGTAATTTCTTCTTCTTCTTTTTCAAAAAGGAGAGATTGGGAGCACCGAATGGAGTCTGGGAACCAAAACAGCAAGCCCCAGACCATGGCACACTTCATTAATAGAGGTAGGGAAAGAAGAAATGGTACCAGAACTACTAATTACAGAAGCACGATAATCTTTCCAAATTATCAACCCAGAAAACAATAGTCTACTCAGACCTGCTCAGCAACAAAGGTTACTATACCTTCAGGATGTTACTCTTTATTATACCATGCTTAAGGAATAGTTTCTTTGCTCCAACAAGAAGAGTACTTCTAAAGCCTGTATTGACCAGTTCCAAAACCTGGACTACCCATACCCCACCATTGAGGTGTCGAGAAAACACCACCAACCCTTAAAGAGTTCCCGGTCCAAATCACTAGCATCCTACGCGGACAACCTGTGGAATAGGCTACATGAAGAGAAAAAGTGCATGAGGACTCCACATCATTTGAACATGAAAAACATAAAGTATCATATAGCAAACTTCTGGAGCATCTTTGACATTCTTCTAGGTCAATGGCCATATTACTAAGATGTCAGCATGGAAAAGCATCCACAAGAAATGGCTAGTTTTAACTTCAGACTGTAAAACAAAACATTTGATGTACAGCATATCAACCGCCAGCAAATATCATACAGGAGAGCAAGCTAATCCTTCTATAGACCCTGCAATTATATGGCAATCCAAAAGATCAATATCACAGGCCAGAGTAGCTAGAGCAGTCAAGGGAGAGAAAAAACCATATTTACACGAGTTACAAGCAGTTGTAGACCTAAAATGAGTAGTAATTTGGATGAGAACTTGTCATCCAGATACCACGAAATATTGAATCCCTTTAGATCATTTTGGTTGCGAATCTACGACCTCTGGAAAAGAAGCTATAATACCAAAATAAAATGCAAGGCTCCAACAGAAATCAACTTTGATTCCCGAGGCACATTATCAGACATATAGAGGTTAACTAACTTACCCTTCACTGACAAGATGTAGTGCCAGATTCACCAACACTGTTTCAGAGAGCCCTAATTTTTCAAGGGTGGATGTAAGAGATTCATATGGATGTTGCACAGTCAGTTCAAAATTTAGAGTGGTCAATAACATCTGTTCAGCCTCAGTAATGCGTTCACGGTACTGCTCAAACCAGTCCTGCAGAAAAACACCATTTAAATGGATTAGAAGTATGCTCAGAGCTTCACAATCTTGCCAAATAAAGAATATTTGGATGATCAATAATGCACAAAGACAAAGGATAAATCCTAACCACGGGTAGAAAATATGATAGAACTGCAAGATCCTGCTTGTGGAAAATTTCACATGAGACCTTCAGAATATTGTTGAGAGGCCTTGCAGTCTCTTCTGACTTCGCCGCAAGAAAGAGAGCAGCAGTAGCAATCAACTGCATACATAAAAAAATACTAACAATTAGCCAAGCATTGAACATAATGAAGCAGAAAGTTAGAGGACCAAAAATATAGCAGATTTTAGCGCATAAAACAATCCACTTACAAATCTGTCATGACATGCATGTGATCGCCTCACAAAGAAGCGGTGACACAGAACCATGGCAGTTCCTATAGTGGTTTGTGGCCTGCAAGCAGGTACAAACAAACATTAGTTCCATCGGATAATAAATTCATAGGAACAAGTAACTTATGCTAGCAATCCTCCAGAGAAAACTAGGAAAAGACAAGTCCCAAAAGCTTAAGAGCCTGTTTGAAGTAAAGTTTTAGAACTTGTGTAAGATACAATGGATTTAAGCCCCAAACGGAAACTTACAGGTCCAAGCGAATTCCAAGGTTCTGAAGGAAAGCACAATATGAGTATCGCAAATGTGCTTCATGCATTGCATCAATACCATCTTTCCTGGATGGAGAGCATTTCTCAATTTCCTCTTTGGACATAAAGATATTATCAGTTTCGGTATCTTCAAGCCATGAGCGGTCGCGCTTAGAACAAGTGGGTGCGCTTGCATCAGAACGAGGTCTAGAAGTAGTGGTAGTAGTGGCAGAATTATTGTTACGGGTTGGATAGGCGTCATCATACGCTCTGGAATTCCTTAAAGGAACATTATAGCATGTGCGTTGTTGCTTTGAAGGAACATCTTTACATGCATTGGGTGCTTGAGAGTACCTGCCAGTGCTTTCCCAACCAGAAGTTGAGCACTTCCTCCTCTTCGAAGAAGGTTCAGCCTCAGGCTTTATGAGATTATCATAACTGTAGCTATACTCGCTAAAATTTCTACCCACGTCATGGGAACTATTAGAGTTGAAAAGATGGGTATCAACAGTGTTATAATTGTTGTAAGCAGAGGAATGGACCATTCCTCTACTCTGGTTTCTGCCATAAAAAGACCTGGAGTCTCCACGAAAAGGGCCACCTTGTGAATAGTAAGTCTGGGCGAGAGCCATGATTCCTGTTCAGTTCAAAAATAAATATCAGTACAAACTAAATTGCATCAATTTCTCCAAACAAAGAAACAGACTTCAATCTGGTATTCTCAGTGCCCTAACATGAAGTCCTACTCTCTTAAAGCATAAAAGATACAAGAAAGACTGAAACTTCCATACTAAAATTACAGTTTTTTTCAAACAAAACCAAAATATAGTAGAGCAAAACAAATTAAGTCCTTACTGCAAAGCCAATTCCATCTACAATCCATTAACTGACACAAAGCCAAGTTCATCAGCCCGCAGACATGATCGCTGAATCTTCGTATCCTAACTAAAACTAGACTCACATAGAACTACAATACGAGGTAAACTCAAATTAATTTTCATAAATACCATGAAACTGACACCAATGGTTTTTTATCTATAATCTCATGAGACAACAATCAATCATCTTAATTTATTTGCATGAAAAAAAACACCTCATTCCACATCAAATTTAGTTTATAATTCACAAGAAAAAAAAAAAACCCCACCAATCTATCCAAACAAGTACCCCTGAATACTCCGAAAAAAATCCCAAAAAACTTCAAGTTCCAATTTTCCCAAAATAACTCACCAAGCCGCAAAAATTACTCAAATTCATAAACTTAAGGATATTATCATCATCCAAAAGAAAAGTCGGATTAGCTCATTTACATATATTAGAAATACCAAAACTATCAAAGGAAGTACCAATCTTGCAAGAAAAAAAAAAGCCTCGTCAAAGCTACGTATCACATAGATCCTCAAGAATCACAAAATTTAAAGGTATGATTATCAATCAAACGATAAACTAAAGTAGATAAAGATCTAAGTGGAAAAAAGGGTAATACCTGAATATCGCAAGAAAAAAGAGATCGAAAAACTCCGTTTTGGATCGGAAGAATCGGCGAATTTCACAAAGTAATTATGAGATGATGGAAAAAAGTTACCGGTGATTGCTTGAGATTAGGGTTTGGAGAATTGGTGAAGATGGAAAACAAAGAGAATGAGAGAGAAGAGAGAATAATTGGGTAATTTATTTGGAATTTGGGAAGGAAAGCGGTTATTGTGCTATCTCGAAGACTCGAACTACTCGGTTTTTCTTTAATCATTTTTTCGATCCATACGTCTATCCGATTAATTCAAATTCGTATTACATAAATCATACGGGTTATTAGCAAGAATTATTTTCTATCAAAGATATTTTAATATTCAACACTAAAATTTAAAATCTTAAATTAAGGATGAAACAATCATATTCCCGCAGTTCCGCATGATATCTTTTGATAGTCAATGTATATATCTTGATGACCTTTGAAATATTTCCTTGTTAACTTTGTTTATTTATCTCTCACTCGAGATTCGACATAAATTTGTGTATTGTAATACCTATTTTCTGAAAATAATGCTTTTAATAAGATTTTTATTCATTTTCATAAATTTAATAATAAAAATATATCTAATTAAAAGTGAAGAATCTGAATCATCTCACCACAATTCATCTTGGTAACTGTTAATTATATTAGGTGAGTTTAGCTATTATTAGCCTACAAAATTGAAATGAACGAACTACAAGTATCTTTTTATTTAAATTTTTTTTTTTTTTAATTCTATACAAATTTGTCATTCTATATTTCTATTTAGGAAAAAAATTTATAATATAGTTAGGTAAAATCTTCTCTAGCACCCCTACTTTGATAGTTTAATTATGCTTTAATCTTTAAGTAAAGGTATACCTAACCTAATGAGAAGACTTGTCTTTTCTTTATTCTTCATTTGAATGATAAAATTATGAATAAATTAAAAGAAACAAATACAAATTATAAGATTTAAACACTATCTTATTCGGATACAAATAATTATGATAATATCAACAAAATTATTCCTATTTGTTATTAGCAAACATATGAATCTTTAATTCATATTATAGATTTCTGTTAAAAAATTTAATTATTATTTTTTTGATAAATTCTCTCTAGCACTCATAGTTTGACTCTTTCCTAATATTTAAAAGAATACCTAATCTAATTGGCCTTCAGTCAACATTTTTTTTTCTTTACTGAAAATGATAAGACTATGAACAAATAAAAAATTTAATTATTATTTTTTTTTCTAATCCTCCGATCCCACTCTGATTCTCTCCTAATCTTTAAAGATATACCTAATCTAATTGGTCTTCACTCAACCTTTTTTTTACATTGAAAATGACAAGTGATTAAATACAGGTCTTTTAATATGATTTTCTACCTTGTTTGTGTATAATAATATCAATAAGATTACAATTAACTAGTAAAGATATGAATCTTTTACATTATAGATATATGTTCTATAATCTAATTTCCATTTACATTTTTTTGGGATAATTAAAGTCCAATATATCTGAGTGATCTTGTTTACAAAATAGCCAACAAATGTATAAATTTTGTATATTTGAGCTATTATGGTAATTAAGTTTGGTCGAAGGGACAAAAAAAAGAAAGCAGCCCAATAAGATACACTCATATAAGTTTGGCCCATTAGTTTGGATAATTATTGATTGGGCCTAGTTGAGTACTTGTATAACAAGGGTGAGCAAACAAACATGGGCTGAAAGGCAAAAGCTAAGGGGAAGTTGCCAATATATACTATTCGTCCATCTAGTTTATCAAATATCGCTGAAGTATCCACAACAATTCTCAAGTCGAAATGGAGCTCAAGTTGTGTTTGATTATAGAATGTACATGAAAGGAGTAGAGTAGAGTATACACTACCTAAGATTGATGCGTATAATTGAATGATATGACATTGTTTATATGGTTAACTTAGTAGGAACATTATCAAAGTGTCTGATTGAAACACTTTATTGGGAGTTGAGATGTTTAATTAAAAATGAGTTAGTTTGAATGTCAAAATGAAATATCTTTGATAAGTTTAAGAGGCTGATTGTGTATTAAGATTAACTGTACATAGAGGGGGGGGGGGGGGAGGGAGGGGAGGGGGATGGAACTGCATTAAAGCTGGTTAATTAAGTTGTGGTGAAGTTGATATAGGGAGAAGAATATAAGGAAGAAGCTAAGTGAATAAATTGGAGAGACAAAAAGAGAGATTTAGTTGAGAAATTTAATTGAATTGAAGGAAGGAACAGTACTATAGATAAGTTGTAAATAGAGGGGGCAAAAGTACAGAAAAGGGAAAATTGGAGTAAATATTGCAATCAGTGTGGAATGCTTATTATTCCATCCGTTCACTTATACTTATCACTTATTCCTAAAATAGATTTTCATTTTTACTTGTCACTTTTGACATATAAAAAAAACAATAATTTTTTTCCATATTTTACTATCAACAATAAATAATTTATTTTCCAAACCATTTTCTAACATTTAGTAGGAGATACTCCTCCGTCCAACAATAGTTGTCCACTATATTATTTTGGGATGTCCAACAATACTTGTTCACGTTGTGAAATCAATTGACAATTTTACACTTAATTCCTAATTTACCCTCATCATTAATTATAGTCATATCTCTATTACATCTTTCAAGACATTATATTTATTACTCCCTCCATTTCATATTAATTGAATTTTTGAAGCATTTTTCATTTTTCAAATTAACTTAATTGTTCAGCTCTAAAGACTACTTTTAGGGTGTGTTTGGTATGAAGGAAAATGTTTTCCTGGAAAACAAGTTGATTTTTGACTTATTTTCTCATGTTTGGTTGGTGAGTAGAAAATATTTTTAGTGTTTGATTTATGAATGAAAAATATTTTTGAGAAATATCTTTTATTTTTACTAGAGTAGAAAATAATTTTTGAAATTGAAAATAGTTTTTAAAAACAAACTTAATTTTTTTTGGGGGGGTGGGGGGGTCGAGGGTAGGGGTGAAAAATTGAATTTTTGAAGTTGAAAATATTTTTGAAAAACAAACTTAAAATTTTTTTTTTTTTTTTGGGGGGGGGGGCTGGTAGGGCGTGGATGGGGGTGAAAAAATGAAATTTTGAAATTGAAAATATTTCTTAAAAACAAACTTGAAATTTTTTATTTTTTTTGGGGAGGGGGGGTGAGGGGCTGGTAGGGGGTGGGTGGGGGTTCTAGGGATGAAAAAATGAAATTTTGAAATTAAAAATATTTTTTAAAAACAAACTTAAATTTTTTGTGGGGTGGGGGTGGGTGCGGGGGGGGGGGGGGGGTTGAAGTTGAGAATATTTTTTAAAAACAAACTAATTTTTTTTTTTTTGGGGGGGGGGGGGTTAGGGTAGGGTGGATGGGGGGTCGAGGGTAGGGTGAAAAAATGAAATTCTGAATTTGTAAATATTTTTTAAAAACAAACTCAATTTTTTTTTGGGGGTGGGGGGTGACCTGAGAGGGGGGGGGGGGGTGATCGAGGATTGGGATGAAAAAATAAAAATTTGAAGTTGAAAATATTTTTTAAAAATAAACTTTAATTTTTTTCTTTTTGAAGGGGGTTGGGGGCTGATAGGGGGGTTGATGGGGGAGGGGGGGGGGGGCGAAGGTAGTGGATGGGGGTAAAAAAATAAAAAATTGAAATTAGAAATATCTTTTAAAAACAATTTTTAATATTTTTTTGGGAGGGGGTGGGGGTAGGGGTGAGGGTGGGGTAAAAAAATTGAATATAAAAACAAGCTTTAAAATTTATTTATTTTCGGGGGGGGGGGGGGGGAGGAGTTGGTTGGGGGTAGGGACAAAATAAATTGATTTTTTCAACAAAAAAATAATTGTAATTTGAAGTTGGAAGAGAGTTTTGGAAAATGTTTTCCTTAAGTTTAGAAGGGAAGTCATTTTCCTTAAATTTGAGGAAAATGAGTTGATTTGGAAAACATTTTCCAAAATATTTAGCCCAACCAAACATGAGAAAATTGGAAAACATTTTCCGGAAAATGTTTTCCTTCATACCAAACACACCCTTAGAGTGTTATTCCAATTTTACCCTTCATTTGAATTTTCAATGTGATGACTTCAATAAATTTGACAATAATTAATAAGGGTAAAAATGGAAAATTATATTTAATTTATATCTTAATCTACTTATCTTAAAGGATGTGAAATACCTTGAAAATTCAGTTAATATGAAATGGATGAAGTATTATATATTCAAAGGGTAATATATATATATATATATATATATATAATAAAAGAGAAGTGATATATGGCCAGAGTAAACGGATGGAGTATTTACTCTTTGTGGTCCCAAATAAGCATAATTAAGAGCATGAAATTTGGAGCCAATAAACTTTAATTTTCAAAAACTTGTACACTACTCTCAGATCTAATTAAACCTTCTTGGCTTTTCCGTACCACGAAACCAATACTCATTAATTATTTTTTATTAATTTCGATGTATTTAAGGTAATTAATTGAGATTAATCACCGATTAATTAGCATTTCTCCCTCTAATTAGTGCTTCAAGTTTATAACAACTCTTCGTGATTACGAATGACTACTCATAGTGATAGGCAGAAAATGCATGTCTCAATAATTAATGTTTGCTATTAGAGTATATGCTTTGACTTCTAAGTTTTCAAATATGGAACAAAAGAGATATTTCCACCATCCATCTTTATTTGTTACGTATATTAAAAATAGTTATTTTATTTTATCATTTTGTGTCTATTTTATTTTTGTTATTAAATACTACTCTCTTCGTTCTTTTTTATATGTCATCCCTTTCTATAAATAGTTGGTCCATAATACTCTCATTTCATAAAATTAATGCATAAATTACCATATTGTTCATTTTTTACCCTTGTGAGTTATTAGCCTTGAAAATATAAATTTGACCAACTTAGAAAAACTAAGTAAATGATTCATGTTCATTGGTTAAATTAATTAATTAATCAAGATAAATTTATTTATATTCATTGATTGAAAACTTGAGTTCCAATAAATAAAATAAGAGTAGAAAGGTAAAGTTACATCACTCCTTAATGCAAGTGCAAAGTAAAAATATGACATATAAAAAGGAACGAATGGAGTACTATTCACTCGCCCACATTTAAATGAACTATATTCAATAATGGTGACATAGTAAAATTATCATTATTTCTCAAGGATGATGT